TTGGGATTGCCTGATTGTTTTCCTGTGCTCGTCCAAGTTGCCAAAACTAACTTTGGCTCTTTGGGAACAGTCCCTGCTAAGTAAGTCAGAGATTCCACTCTGGACTGAATTCCAGGCTTTCTTAAAAGATCGTCATCGAACGCTTGAGGCGATTGAGGAGTTCAAGCCAAACGCGAGCGTTCAATCCAGGGCACTGAGGGCTGACAATAGCTCGCGGTCGATCCAGACCTTCGAAAACAGAGTTACGGTAAACCCGCAATCCTGCAAACTCTGCGCACAGGAGAACCATCCAGTCCGATTATGTCCTCTATTCTTACGCATGTCAGTCGCAGATCGAGAGAAACATGTAAAACAGCAGAAGTTGTGCTTAAACTGTTTCGCAAGAACGCATCTGCTCCGGGATTGCAACAGTACGCATAATTGCTACACCTGCAATGGACGTCACAATTCTCTCCTGCATCGAAGCACCCCTCTGCCAGTCCATTCAGTGGTTATGCCTGACCAACAGTCCCATCCATCCACAGCAACCCAGCAACATATACAGTCCACTCCATCGACGAGTCAAGCGAATGTGCAAACGTTTCTTGCCGTTAACACGCAAGGGGTCCTACTGAGTACGGCATTGATAGAAGTTTGCCATTTGGGCATAAAATACTCAGCACGGGCACTCATTGACTCAGGTTCCGAGGCAACCTTCATCTCAGAACGGTTGTTCAACCTAATTAAGTTGCCGTATGAGTCCATTCAGGCCCAAGTTTCGGGGGTCAACCTTTCCGTTGCCGCTCAGCCTCGTAAGAGGTGTCAACTCATCATAGGTTCTTCCGTCAAGCCCCATATCCAGATTGAAACTTGTGCATACGTGTTACCCCAGTTAGCTGGTAATCTCCCATCCTACACTCTACCAGAGGCCTCATTAAAGGATCTTCCACCGTTGCAACTAGCAGATCCAAATTTCTTCCGAAGCTCGCAGATTGACGTGCTTATTGGTGCCGATATCCTGCCATCGATCCTCCTAAGCGGCTCCCATTCCAATATTTGTGGAACACTCCTGGGTCAAGAGACCATATTCGGGTGGATTCTTTGCGGTCCGATTGCAGCGAGTCCCACAAGCAGAATCTGCTCCTTTTCAGCCCGATTAGCAGTCAAGGAATCCAAACTAGACAGCATCCTCACAAAATTTTGGGAGGTGGAGGATGTTCCAGTGAAGCTGGTTAAGGAATCCACCTCGGTTTGCGAGGAGAACTTTATCCGATCCACCAAAAGAAGTGAGGAGGGAAGATATGTTGTTTCGTTGCCCTTTAAAGAGCCGGACAATATTAAGCTTGGACATTCCAGACCCATCGCACTAGCTCAGTACCTCCGAAACGAAGTGCGATTAAGTAAAGATCTTCCATTGAAGGAGCAGTATGACTCAGTCATTCGAGAGTACTTAGACTTAGGTCATATGCACCAAGTCTCCCCTGACGACTCTAGCAGTTTTTATCTGCCTCATCACGCTGTCTTCAAACCAGATAGCACCACGACGAAGGTTCGCGTCGTGTTCAATGCTTCCAATCCCTCATCAAACGGGAACAGCCTCAATGATATCCTTCATGCGGGGCCTGTACTACAGTCCGATCTGACTATTCAGATTCTAAAATGGCGTTTCTTTAAGTATGTTTTTAATGCGGACATAACAAAGATGTATCGGCAAATCCGGGTCAATCCTGATCACACGCGCTTTCAGAGAATCTTATTCCGCAACAAATACGGTGAGCTCTGTGACTATGAACTCGACACAGTCACCTTCGGCGTAAATTGTGCGCCCTTCCTGGCCATCAGAGTGCTTCAGCAGTTGGCTCAGGACATCCGAGGCCAATATCCTTTGGCCAGCGACATCATTTCGAACTTCATGTACGTGGACGATGTGCTCGCAGGGGCTCACACTCGGCAGTCGGCAGCTTTAGCCATTAAAGAGCTTCGGCTGGCTCTCGAGAGTGCCGGTTTTCCACTGCGCAAGTGGACCTCAAACGAAAGGAGACTTCTACAAGCGATTCCGAGGGAACATTTGGTCAGTGCAGACTTCCTTGAGCTGGAAGATGCCAGCACGGCGAAAACTCTTGGGATCCGTTGGCAAGCTACATCCGATAGTTTCTTTTTTTGTTCCAATGGTGATCTCCCTGCAACCTGCCTACACCAAACGAGAGGTTTTGTCTCAAATAGCCAAACTGTTCGACCCGGCAGGGTGGTTATCGCCTTTCGTAATCCGAGCCAAGATTTTCATGCAGGAAATTTGGCTGCGGGAGCTAGGCTGGGATCAGCCACTCCCCACCGACCTTGTGACCAAGTGGCAAGAGTTTTGAAAGGGTATCCGACCCTGAGGGAAATTCGTATTCCGAGGTGGGTGCGTTTCCATCCTGCTGCCAAGGTGCAGTACCATGCGTTTTGCGATGCGTCACAGGACGCGTATGGGGCTGCTATTTTCGTCCGAGTCGAAACGGCTGACGGCTGTTGTGCCCATTTGCTGGCATCCAAGACCAGAGTCGCTCCCGTCAGGTCCATCTCCATACCCCGCCTGGAGTTGTGCGGAGCAGTGCTGCTCACTGAGCTAGCAGCATCAGTAATTTCCGAATTGCCTCCTAAAGCTTATGAGATTTTTTATTGGACAGACTCTACTATAGTTCTTGCATGGCTAGGCAAGCCAGCATGCACCTGGACGACATTCGTGGCCAACAGGGTCGCAAAGATCGAACAGCGTACCAACGAAAGCAAATGGGGCCATGTACGATCCGAAGACAATCCAGCTGATCTGGCAAGCCGAGGCGTCTCGCCCCAAGAGCTTAAGGACAGCACACTTTGGTGGCACGGGCCGGCTTGGCTACCACTCAAGCAGGAGCAGTGGCCGAGTGAACCACTGGTTAATCCAGAAACCGAGATGGAGCAACGGCCTATTAAATGTCACAGTGCCACAGTGCCGCCAGCAGTGGATATCCTAGAGCGGTTTTCAACCTTCGACAGGGCGCTGCGGGTTCTAGCATACGTGATCCGTTTTGCGAAAAGTTGCAAAAAGGAAGATATACCCCCATCGTCAGCACTCACTTCGGCGGAGTTGTCTGACGTGCAAGAGCGGTTAATCGTGTTCACTCAAAAGAATGAGTTTCCCGTCGAATATAAGGCTTTAAGTAACAAGCAGCAAATTCCAGCCTCAAGTACCATTTCTAACCTAAACCCCTTTCTTGACAGAAAGGGGGTCTTGAGAGCAAGCGGCCGTTTACAAGCATCTGACATGCTTAGTTATGATGAAAAACATCCTATCATCATCCCAGCGCGATGTAGATTCGCGAAACTACAAGCCCTGTTTACTCATCGCATATCCTTGCATGGGGGAATCAGTTAATGGTGAGACTGATTCGGTCTAAATTCTGGATTCCTAAGCTTCAGAGATTGGTGAAACACACAATTCACTCGTGCCGAGTTTGTGTCATCCACAAGAAGAACCTGCAGAGGCAGTTGATGGGGGATTTGCCCCGGGCGAGATCCTCTTTCTCCAGGCCATTCACTCATACAGGCATGGATTTCGCGGGGCCATTTGACATCAAGAGTTATGTCGGTCGAGCCTGCAAAATCACAAAGGGATACGTCTGCGTTTTTGTTTGCTTTAGTACCAAGGCCATCCATCTCGAAGCGACGTCCGACTTGACGACAGAGAAATTTTTAGCTGCCTTCTCTCGTTTTTCTGCACGCCGTGGGTGTCCACAACATGTCTACTCTGACAACGGGAAAACGTTTGTCGGAGCCTCCACGTCCTTATCCAGAGACTTTATAGAGTCAACCAGAACACTGATCCTCTCCAAACACAGCCTTCAGAACTTGGCCTGGCATTTCAACCCTCCTGGCGCGCCTCACATGGGAGGGCTCTGGGAGGCGGGTGTGAAAAGTTTCAAGGCTCACTTCTACAAGTACACAGCAGCAGGGAAGTACACCTTCGAAGAACTGGCTACCCTCCTTGCGAAAATTGAGGCCTGTTTAAACTCCAGGCCTATTTCACCAATGTCCGAAGATCCCACCGACCTTGTGGCTCTTAGCCCCGGACATTTTCTAATTGGTGGACCACTTCTTGCGGTATCGGAGCCTCTGATTGAGGAGAATCCTATTTCCATCATCAATCGGTGGCGGAGGTTGAAGGCCCTGCATCAGCAGTTCTGTGTGCGTTGGAAGGAGGAATATCTGAAGGAGCTCCACAAAAGGAACAAATGGAAGTTCCCATCGCGAGATCTCCAAGCGGGAGACATGGTTGTGATCAAGGAGGAGAGCTTGCCAGCCAACGAATGGCGGCTTGGGCGTATCCAGCTGGTATGTCCGGGCGCCGACGGCAAGGTCAGAGTTGCAGACGTGCTTACAGCACGGGGCGTCATCCGACGGCCAGTGGCGAAAATGATTCGCCTCCCAATGGACGGCCCCATTGACCATAGTGACTCCTCAATAGAGTAGTCCTTCCAATTGACATGTACTAGTCCTAAGTTGTGTCATCCAACGTCGTCGTTCCGTCCACGTGTCTGTTCATCCTCATCCATAACACTTCATTTTTCATATTTATCCATCTCTTTTTCTAATTTAGATCCGTGTATACAATGGCTCCAACGACCCACCAAAATCCTCGTCGCTCATCCGGGTGCAATGTATACAGATGTCGAGTCTGCAGGGGAGTCCACGCTCTGAGGGTTTGCCAGCGGTTTCTCCAACTGCCGGCTGTGAAGCGGCTCCGCGCGGTACTCATTAACAAGTACTGCGCAAACTGTCTGGCACACGAGCATTCCGGTCGGTCGTGCCGCAGTACAGCGAGGTGTCATATATGCAATGAGGCTCATCACACGCTGCTACACATCCACACTGGGCAGCCTCGTTCTTCGCGACCCCGGCAAAGGCGCAACCCACCCTCGGATTCTCGGCCTCAGCGTCAGTCACAGCAGCGCCAGCAGGCGCCTGTATCCGGATCTCGGCGGCCCGCCACGCCAATGGATATGTCTCCATCCCGCAGCCGGTCGTGCACGCCTATCCTGGCGCGCACAAGTGTTAGCATCCTCCCGACCGCGTCCGTGCTAATCGGATCCGACCAAAAGCGGTTTGATGTCCGAGCCTTGGTGGATCCGTGCTGCCCTGTGAGTCGCATCCACATCTCCCTGGTTAAAGCCCTTAATCTGGCCATCACGGGCATTGGCGACCAACGGGTGTGCGCCACCGAGATGCGCTCCAAGGCCTCCAAGATGAGCAAGCAGCTTCTGATGCTGGTGGACGAGCAATCGCTGGACCCGAAGGTGCAGGACATGTTTCAGAATGTCACATTGGCGGATGACCGGTGGTTCCACCCATCGTTAGTGTCGGTTGTGCTGGGAGCGGACGTTTACGCTGACCTGATGCTGCCGGGTATCCTCCCGGGTCAGGACGGCTTGCCGATGGCACAAAAATACGACGCTGGGATGGATCCATTCCGGACGATGCTCCCTCTCGTAGATCGCAAGCATTCCTCTTGCGCGGGGGGGGGAGAATGTTCAAGCTGAACAAGGGGCAATGTCGCCAGGGGAGCATCTCTGGGAACAAAATGTACCTGTCGCCATGTTAGTTGTACTGCTCTCTTTTTTTTACTACTCTGAAAATAAACGGCAACGAAGACGGATCGTCCTCCTCATCATCATCTTAAAACTCTGCTATCTTTTATTGGGAATTTTCTGGACTTGTACTTGCCACGGCCCCGACAGCTTCATTTTTGGTCCTTCGAGCCGGATATTCCAGCGCTTTTTTGCCAAGATAAGTACGGTGCCGAAATTCCCACCATATATGTATGTACATACTTGCATATATATGTAGATATATTGCTGCATCCAATTTATTTAAAACTCTACCAACTTGTGCAGTAGGATATATATATGTATATGCATGTGTTTACATAGCTATACGCCCCTCTCCTATACATGTTTTAAATCAGCCAATATCCAGGAAGGCTGACATCCATTTTTCCGCACATAAAAAGCCATACATCTACACCGAGTTATTTGCATACGCATTTGTGTACATTGCCGATCTATGAACATACATATGTACATACGTATGTTCATTACCTTTGGGTCACAAATCGGCGGCATTTAAAATAAAAAAAACACATCCCATCCACAATAATTATATGTACATTTTTTTTATCCACCGCACAATAATAAAACAAGAAAAAAAAAAAGGGATAAATAAAGTTATCTCCCTCCTCTGGCTGGCCGATCATACGTGCATACGTACATACATATACATATGCACATATCCATACAAATTGCTGGACCGGCAATTGCATACACATTTATGTACATGGCCGATCTATGAACCTATGTATGGACATATGTATGTTACCTTTGGGTCACAAATCTGCGGCATTTACAGGGGAGAAAAAACACATCCTATCCACAATAAATATATGTACATATGTATTTTCCATCCACTGCACATTAACCACAAAACAAAAGATAAATAAAGTTAACCCCCCTCCTCCAGCTGGCCGATCATACGTGCACACATATATGCACATATCCATACAAATTGCTGGACCGGCAATTGAGCATCGGCAGCTAAAAGTGTCGCTGCATCCAAACACAAACAAAGTGAAACAAACAAAATTAAAAAATCTGCGATTTTAATAGTTGTTTATTTGTTTATTTTGCGTAAATACATATGTATGTAAGTACTGGCCGCCAAGGTTGCGACACTATTACCGGCTGAGTCTGTTAATGAGCCGTTCACACTTGGGTGCATTCTTTTGTATTATTGGTTTTGAGTTTCAATTCGACTAATTTACAACCTAATTTTTTTGAATCGTGTACACCGTTCCGATTATTTTTTTGGTACGCATTATCCAGCGTCCAAGTATATCTTAAAAGGTCTTCACTTCCAACCCCACAGTATTTTTCGACAAACATTTATTTATCTCCGAATAATTCATTCTACATATTTTTTTCTCGGTTCATACCCAAATCGATAAAAACCTTTTTCGACTATTTTTATTTTTTTTTTTAATTCCTTTGAAATCGATAGCATTCTTTTTCGATTAATTTTGTTTTTCGCGTTATCCAGCGCCCCCATATTAATTTGAGTTGAGTACATCCTTGTCAACGCGTCATCCAGCGTTCCCGTATTAAATTGAAATCGACAGCAGTTTTTTTTTTCTCGACTGATTTCTTCTACGCGTTATCCAACGTACACACTTTTCCGAATCGATAACCATAATTTTTAAACGCTTCATCCAGCGCCCGGTATTTATTCCAAATCGATAACCATAATTTTAAACGCTTTATCCAGCGTCCTCGTATTGATTTGAAATTCCTAGCAACTTTTTTTCGATTAATTTGTTTTACGCGTTATCCAGCGCCCCCATATCTTTCCAACCGAGTACATCCGTGCCAACGCGTTATCCAGCGCCCCCATATCTTTTGAACTGAGTTCTTCCGTGCCAACGCGTCATCCAGCGTCCCCGTATTAATTGAGTATCGATAGCATTCTTTCGATTAATTTGTTCTACGCGTTATCCAGCGCCCCCCATATCTTTCGAATCGAGTGCATCCGTGCCAACGCGTTATCCAGCGTCCCTGTATTGATTTAAAATCGATAATCATAAATTTTGAACGCTTCATCCAGCGTCCCCGGACTAATTAAAAATCGATAACATCCTTTTCGGGGATTATTTGTTTATTTACGCTTATCCAGCGTCCCTGCACTGATTCCAAATCGATAAATATAATTTTTTCGATTAACTCTGTTTTCCTGCGCTTATCCAGCGTCCCTGTACTGATTAAAATCGATAACATCCTTTTCGAGTATTATTTGTTTATTTACGCTTATCCAGCGTCCCTGCACTTATTCCAAATCGATAAATATAATTTTTTCGATTAACTCTGTTTTCCTGCGCTTATCCAGCGTCCCTGTTTTGATTTAAAAAAAAAACGATAACATCCTTTTCGAGTATTATTTGTTTATTTACGCTTATCCAGCGTCCCTGCACTTATTCCAAATCGATAAATATAATTTTTTCGATTAACTCGGTTTTCCTGCGCTTATCCAGCGGCCCCAACAAGAGTTTAACATGGAAAACGGCGACGGTGAGGAACCAAAACCCCGTCTGACCGTTTCTACAGCGGAGGCGTCTTCCAGAGGCAGGGCAACGAGTGAATCCTCTGTGCCTTCCGAAAGCGAAAATCCCTCTCGAAGCAAAAGCCCATTAGCAACCACCACTCCACGTAAATCTACGAGCACGTCGCTCGAAGTTCTACCGACTGCACCATCCACAAAGGCCGCGAAATCAGTCGTGTCTTCCCAGGTCACTAGAGCAACTGAAAGAAGGGCTCAAGCTGAGGGAGACAAGGCTTTGGTGAAATTCACGACCATAACCGATAGGATGGGTCAGTTCGAAGCCAGATTCAACACCCCGACTGACCAAGGTCCGTCCATCCACACGAGTAGGGTTCGACTCGAGCAGATCAGGGCTCTCTGGGACAAGGTGGAAAGGGAGTACGAGACGTGCTCCGAAGTGCTGGCCAGTCAAAACTGCAAAGACACAATAACAGTCATGCAATCCAAGTATGACTACTGTTATACCGTTTACGAGCGGTGCGCAGCAAACCTCAATGAGATCATTGAAAATTCACGCGCGCCACAGTCTGTTCAGTCCTCCAATCTGACGCCGTCTCAGGGCGGATGTCGCCTACCTCCAGTCGAGTGCGAAGTTTTCAATGGTGACTATGTTCAATGGCCCACATTTCGGGACCTTTTCTCCGCCATCTATGTACGCAATCCTCGGCTTTCAGAAGTCGAAAAACTGTTCCATCTCAATGCAAAGACGAGCGGCGAGGCCAAATCCATTGTGGCCTTATCTCCGTTGACCAATGATGGTTTCGAGTCAGCGTGGAGAAACTTGCAGAATCGGTTCGAGAACAAGAGGCTGCTGGTCAATAGCCAATTAAAGATTTTGTTTAATTTGCCTTCTGTTGCCCAGGAATGCGGAAAATCCTTGAAGCATTTAGAGAGCACAATCCAAGGTTGTTTAACGGCCCTGCAATTAGCAAGAGTCGAGACCACGAATTGGGATTGCCTGATTGTTTTCCTGTGCTCGTCCAAGTTGCCAAAACTAACTTTGGCTCTTTGGGAACAGTCCCTGCTAAGTAAGTCAGAGATTCCACTCTGGACTGAATTCCAGGCTTTCTTAAAAGATCGTCATCGAACGCTTGAGGCGATTGAGGAGTTCAAGCCAAACGCGAGCGTTCAATCCAGGGCACTGAGGGCTGACAATAGCTCGCGGTCGATCCAGACCTTCGAAAACAGAGTTACGGTAAACCCGCAATCCTGCAAACTCTGCGCACAGGAGAACCATCCAGTCCGATTATGTCCTCTATTCTTACGCATGTCAGTCGCAGATCGAGAGAAACATGTAAAACAGCAGAAGTTGTGCTTAAACTGTTTCGCAAGAACGCATCTGCTCCGGGATTGCAACAGTACGCATAATTGCTACACCTGCAATGGACGTCACAATTCTCTCCTGCATCGAAGCACCCCTCTGCCAGTCCATTCAGTGGTTATGCCTGACCAACAGTGCCATCCATCCACAGCAACCCAGCAACAGATACAGTCCACTCCATCGACGAGTCAAGCGAATGTGCAAACGTTTCTTGCCGTTAACACGCAAGGGGTCCTACTGAGTACGGCATTGATAGAAGTTTGCCATTTGGGCATAAAATACTCAGCACGGGCACTCATTGACTCAGGTTCCGAGGCAACCTTCATCTCAGAACGGTTGTTCAACCTAATTAAGTTGCCGTATGAGTCCATTCAGGCCCAAGTTTCGGGGGTCAACCTTTCCGTTGCCGCTCAGCCTCGTAAGAGGTGTCAACTCATCATAGGTTCTTCCGTCAAGCCCCATATCCAGATTGAAACTTGTGCATACGTGTTACCCCAGTTAGCTGGTAATCTCCCATCCTACACTCTACCAGAGGCCTCATTAAAGGATCTTCCACCGTTGCAACTAGCAGATCCAAATTTCTTCCGAAGCTCGCAGATTGACGTGCTTATTGGTGCCGATATCCTGCCATCGATCCTCCTAAGCGGCTCCCATTCCAATATTTGTGGAACACTCCTGGGTCAAGAGACCATATTCGGGTGGATTCTTTGCGGTCCGATTGCAGCGAGTCCCACAAGCAGAATCTGCTCCTTTTCAGCCCGATTAGCAGTCAAGGAATCCAAACTAGACAGCATCCTCACAAAATTTTGGGAGGTGGAGGATGTTCCAGTGAAGCTGGTTAAGGAATCCACCTCGGTTTGCGAGGAGAACTTTATCCGATCCACCAAAAGAAGTGAGGAGGGAAGATATGTTGTTTCGTTGCCCTTTAAAGAGCCGGACAATATTAAGCTTGGACATTCCAGACCCATCGCACTAGCTCAGTACCTCCGAAACGAAGTGCGATTAAGTAAAGATCTTCCATTGAAGGAGCAGTATGACTCAGTCATTCGAGAGTACTTAGACTTAGGTCATATGCACCAAGTCTCCCCTGACGACTCTAGCAGTTTTTATCTGCCTCATCACGCTGTCTTCAAACCAGATAGCACCACGACGAAGGTTCGCGTCGTGTTCAATGCTTCCAATCCCTCATCAAACGGGAACAGCCTCAATGATATCCTTCATGCGGGGCCTGTACTACAGTCCGATCTGACTATTCAGATTCTAAAATGGCGTTTCTTTAAGTATGTTTTTAATGCGGACATAACAAAGATGTATCGGCAAATCCGGGTCAATCCTGATCACACGCGCTTTCAGAGAATCTTATTCCGCAACAAATACGGTGAGCTCTGTGACTATGAACTCGACACAGTCACCTTCGGCGTAAATTGTGCGCCCTTCCTGGCCATCAGAGTGCTTCAGCAGTTGGCTCAGGACATCCGAGGCCAATATCCTTTGGCCAGCGACATCATTTCGAACTTCATGTACGTGGACGATGTGCTCGCAGGGGCTCACACTCGGCAGTCGGCAGCTTTAGCCATTAAAGAGCTTCGGCTGGCTCTCGAGAGTGCCGGTTTTCCACTGCGCAAGTGGACCTCAAACGAAAGGAGACTTCTACAAGCGATTCCGAGGGAACATTTGGTCAGTGCAGACTTCCTTGAGCTGGAAGATGCCAGCACGGCGAAAACTCTTGGGATCCGTTGGCAAGCTACATCCGATAGTTTCTTTTTGTTCCAATGGTGATCTCCCTGCAACCTGCCTACACCAAACGAGAGGTTTTGTCTCAAATAGCCAAACTGTTCGACCCGGCAGGGTGGTTATCGCCTTTCGTAATCCGAGCCAAGATTTTCATGCAGGAAATTTGGCTGCGGGAGCTAGGCTGGGATCAGCCACTCCCCACCGACCTTGTGACCAAGTGGCAAGAGTTTTTGAAAGGGTATCCGACCCTGAGGGAAATTCGTATTCCGAGGTGGGTGCGTTTCCATCCTGCTGCCAAGGTGCAGTACCATGCGTTTTGCGATGCGTCACAGGACGCGTATGGGGCTGCTATTTTCGTCCGAGTCGAAACGGCTGACGGCTGTTGTGCCCATTTGCTGGCATCCAAGACCAGAGTCGCTCCCGTCAGGTCCATCTCCATACCCCGCCTGGAGTTGTGCGGAGCAGTGCTGCTCACTGAGCTAGCAGCATCAGTAATTTCCGAATTGCCTCCTAAAGCTTATGAGATTTTTTATTGGACAGACTCTACTATAGTTCTTGCATGGCTAGGCAAGCCAGCATGCACCTGGACGACATTCGTGGCCAACAGGGTCGCAAAGATCGAACAGCGTACCAACGAAAGCAAATGGGGCCATGTACGATCCGAAGACAATCCAGCTGATCTGGCAAGCCGAGGCGTCTCGCCCCAAGAGCTTAAGGACAGCACACTTTGGTGGCACGGGCCGGCTTGGCTACCACTCAAGCAGGAGCAGTGGCCGAGTGAACCACTGGTTAATCCGGAAACCGAGATGGAGCAACGGCCTATTAAATGTCACAGTGCCACAGTGCCGCCAGCAGTGGATATCCTAGAGCGGTTTTCAACCTTCGACAGGGCGCTGCGGGTTCTAGCATACGTGATCCGTTTTGCGAAAAGTTGCAAAAAGGAAGATATACCCCCATCGTCAGCACTCACTTCGGCGGAGTTGTCTGACGTGCAAGAGCGGTTAATCGTGTTCACTCAAAAGAATGAGTTTCCCGTCGAATATAAGGCTTTAAGTAACAAGCAGCAAATTCCAGCCTCAAGTACCATTTCTAACCTAAACCCCTTTCTTGACAGAAAGGGGGTCTTGAGAGCAAGCGGCCGTTTACAAGCATCTGACATGCTTAGTTATGATGAAAAACATCCTATCATCATCCCAGCGCGATGTAGATTCGCGAAACTACAAGCCCTGTTTACTCATCGCATATCCTTGCATGGGGGAATCAGTTAATGGTGAGACTGATTCGGTCTAAATTCTGGATTCCTAAGCTTCAGAGATTGGTGAAACACACAATTCACTCGTGCCGAGTTTGTGTCATCCACAAGAAGAACCTGCAGAGGCAGTTGATGGGGGATTTGCCCCGGGCGAGATCCTCTTTCTCCAGGCCATTCACTCATACAGGCATGGATTTCGCGGGGCCATTTGACATCAAGAGTTATGTCGGTCGAGCCTGCAAAATCACAAAGGGATACGTCTGCGTTTTTGTTTGCTTTAGTACCAGGGCCATCCATCTCGAAGCGACGTCCGACTTGACGACAGAGAAATTTTTAGCTGCCTTCTCTCGTTTTTCTGCACGCCGTGGGTGTCCACAACATGTCTACTCTGACAACGGGAAAACGTTTGTCGGAGCCTCCACGTCCTTATCCAGAGACTTTATTGAGTCAACCAGAACACTGATCCTCTCCAAACACAGCCTTCAGAACTTGGCCTGGCATTTCAACCCTCCTGGCGCGCCTCACATGGGAGGGCTCTGGGAGGCGGGTGTGAAAAGTTTCAAGGCTCACTTCTACAAGTACACAGCAGCAGGGAAGTACACCTTCGAAGAACTGGCTACCCTCCTTGCGAAAATTGAGGCCTGTTTAAACTCCAGGCCTATTTCACCAATGTACGAAGATTAACAAGTACTGCGCAAACTGTCTGGCACACGAGCATTCCGGTCGGTCGTGCCGCAGTACAGCGAGGTGTCATATATGCAATGAGGCTCATCACACGCTGCTACACATCCACACTGGGCAGCCTCGTTCTTCGCGACCCCGGCAAAGGCGCAACCCACCCTCGGATTCTCGGCCTCAGCGTCAGTCACAGCAGCGCCAGCAGGCGCCTGTATCCGGATCTCGGCGGCCCGCCACGCCAATGGATATGTCTCCATCCCGCAGCCGGTCGTGCACGCCTATCCTGGCGCGCACAAGTGTTAGCATCCTCCCGACCGCGTCCGTGCTAATCGGATCCGACCAAAAGCGGTTTGATGTCCGAGCCTTGGTGGATCCGTGCTGCCCTGTGAGTCGCATCCACATCTCCCTGGTTAAAGCCCTTAATCTGGCCATCACGGGCATTGGCGACCAACGGGTGTGCGCCACCGAGATGCGCTCCAAGGCCTCCAAGATGAGCAAGCAGCTTCTGATGCTGGTGGACGAGCAATCGCTGGACCCGAAGGTGCAGGACATGTTTCAGAATGTCACATTGGCGGATGACCGGTGGTTCCACCCATCGTTAGTGTCGGTTGTGCTGGGAGCGGACGTTTACGTTGACCTGATGCTGCCGGGTATCCTCCCGGGTCAGGACGGCTTGCCGATGGCACAAAATACGACGCTGGGATGGATCCTTTCCGGACGATGCTCCCTCTCGTAGATCGCAAGCATTCCTCTTGCGCGGGGGGGGAGAATGTTCAAGCTGAACCTGTCGCCATGTTAGTTGTACTGCTCTCATTTTTTTACTACTCTGAAAATAAACGGCAACGAAGACGGATCGTCCTCCTCATCATCATCTTAAAACTCTGCCATCTTTTATTGGGAATTTTCTGGACTTGTACTTGCCACGGCCCCGACAGCTTCACCTTCTTTTTTGCCTTCTTCTTCGTTATTTAGTCTTCTACTCCTTCTTTTTTGCCTTCTTCTTCGTTATTTAGTCTTCTACTCCTTTTTTTTAGTCTTCTACTCCTTCTTTTTTGCCTTCTTCTTCGTTATTTAGTCTTCTACTCCTTCTTTTTTGCCTTCTTCTTCGTTATTTAGTCTTCTACTCCTTCTTTTTTTTTGCCTTCTTCTTCGTTATTTAGTCTTCTACTCCTTCTTTTTTGCCTTCTTCTTCGTTATTTAGTCTTCTACTCCTTCTTTTTTTGCCTTCTTCTTCGTTAATTAGTCTTCTACTCCTTCTTTTTTGCCTTCTTCGTTATTTAGTCTTCTACTCCTCCTTTTTTGGCTTCTTCTTCGTTATTTAGTCTTCTACTCCTTCTTTTTTGCCTTCTTCTTCGTTATTTAGGGTTCTACTCCTTCTTTTTTTGCCTTCTTCTTCGTTATTTAGTCTTCTACTCCTTCTTTTTTTGCCTTCTTCTTCGTTATTTAGTCTTCTACTCCTTCTTTTTTGCCATCTTCTTCGTTATTTAGTCTTCTACTCCTTCTTTTTAGCCTTCTTCTTCGTTATTTAGTCTTCTACTCCTTCTTTTTTGCCTTCTTCTTCGTTATTTAGTCTTCTACTCCTTCTTTTTTGCCTTCTTCTTCGTTATTTAGTCTTCTACTCCTTCTTTTTTGCCTTCTTCTTCGTTATTTAGTCTTCTACTCCTTCTTTTTTGCCTTCTTCTTCGTTATTTAGTCTTCTACTCTTTCTTTTTTGCCTTCTTCTTCGTTATTTAGTCTTCTACTCCTTCTTTTTTGCCATCTTCTTCGTTATTTAGTCTTCTACTCCTTCTTTTTTGCCTTCTTCTTCGTTATTTAGTCTTCAACTCCTTCTTTTTTGCCTTCTTCTTCGTTATTTAGTCTTCTACTCCTTCTTTTTTGCCTTCTTCTTCGTTATTTAGTCTTCTACTCCTTCTTTTTTGGCTTCTTCTTCGTTATTTAGTCTTCTACTCCTTCTTTTTTGCCTTCTTCTTCGTTATTTAGTCTTCTACTCCTTCTATTTTGCCTTCTTATTCGTTATTTAGTCTTCTACTCCTTCTTTTTTGTCTTCTTCTTCGTTATTTAGTCTTCTACTCCTTCTTTTTTGCCTTCTTCTTCGTTATTTAGTCTTCTACTCCTTTTTTTTAGTCTTCTACTCCTTCTTTTTTTGCCTTCTTCTTCGTTATTTAGTCTTCTACTCCTTCTTTTTGCCTTCTTCTTCGTTATTTAGTCTTCTACTCCCTTCTTTTTTTGCCTTCTTCTTCGTTATTTAGTCTTCTACTCCTTCTTTTTTGCCTTCTTCTTCGTTATTTAGTCTTCTACTCCTTCTTTTTTGCCTTCTTCTTCGTTAATTAGTCTTCTACTCCTTCTTTTTTGCCTTCTTCGTTATTTAGTCTTCTACTCCTTCTTTTTTGGCTTCTTCTTCGTTATTTAGTCTTCTACTCCTTCTTTTTTGCCTTCATCTTCGTTATTTAGGGTTCTACTCCTTCTTTTTTGCCTTCTTCTTCGTTATTTAGTCTTCTACTCCTTCTTTTTTGCCTTCTTCTTCGTTATTTAGTCTTCTACTCCTTCTTTTTTGCCTTCTTCTTCGTTATTTAGTCTTCTACTCCTTCTTTTTTGCCTTATTCTTCGTTATTTAGTCTTCTACTCCTTCTTTTTTGCCTTCTTCTTCGTTATTTAGTCTTATACTCCTTCTTTTTTGCCTTTTTCTTCGTTATTTAGGGTTCTACTCCTTCTTTTTTGCCTTCTTCTTCGTTATTTAGTCTTCTACTCCTTTTTTTTTTGCCTTCTTCTTCGTTATTTAGTCTTCTACTCCTTCTTTTTTGCCTTCTTCTTCGTTATTTAGTCTTCTACTCCTTCTTTTTTGCCATCTTCTTCGTTATTTAGTCTTCTACTCCTTCTTTTTTGCCTTCTTCTTCGTTATTTAGTCTTCTACTCCTTCTTTTTTGCCTTCTTCTTCGTTATTTAGTCTTCTACTCCTTCTTTTTTTGCCTTCTTCTTCGTTATTTAGTCTTCTACTCCTTCTTTTTTGCCTTCTTCTTCGTTATTTAGTCTTCTACTCCTTCTTTTTTGCCTTCTTCTTCGTTATTTAGTCTTCTACTCTTTCTTTTTTGCCTTCTTCTTCGTTATTTAGTCTTCT